AACGGTCAGGGTGTAGAGACTCGACCCCGGCCGACGCGAGAACGTGGCCAGGTGTCGGCCTGTGCGTGCCTCCGTGCAGTGGGTCACCCGCTGACTCGCTGGAGTGAACTGGTGAACCCCCACATCCTGCAGGTCCGCGCCACTCACCAAGTTCGTAGAGAACGAGGGAAGGTACAGACCAGACAGGGTGCCCGAAGGGGCAGCCGGACACGGGAGGACAGTGGAGAAGTGAGACAGGACAGGACCCCCAGAGGGGTCAGCAAGGGAGACTGCAAATCGGCCGGCCGAGCGGCGTAAGGGTAGTGCGGTCTCGAAAGAAGGAGCGAGAAGCCCCGGAGTCAAGTGTGAAAGTGAGGGAGGACGAGGACGACGCAGTACCTGAGAGCGCAGTCTCACCAGTACCTGAGAGCGCAGACGCACTGGCACCTAGAGCAGCAGCCTCACAAGCACTTAGCGCAGCAATACCAATGCCCGGGTCGGGCTGGAAACACCGGTAACCCTCATTCTCCTCACTATAAGTCACAGCATACATAGCAGCAAGGATAGCATCAAAATCAAGATAAAAGATCGCTACACCAGCCCTAAGAAGCTCATCCTAGTGAGGGATCTCACTAGCCCCAGGGAACTGCTGACGCCACGCGTCCGTCAGGCGGCCAAAGCAGCGCTGGGTGGCGTGGGCACCCCCACACTGCTCACCCGCGCGGTCGCCGGAACGAAGAACGTAGGTCCAGGGACCAGTACCCCCACCCCTCTGACGCCCAGCGTACCACTCACGAAGCTGCTGAGGCGGAGGGATGTCCCGTGAGCGCTGCTGCTGCTGCCGCTGAGAGCGCTGGCCACCACCACCGCCGCTACGCTGCTGGGTACCACCCCGACCAGCTCCACCTCCTCCACCACCACCGCCTCCTCCGCTGCCGCCTCCACCGCCTCCACCTCCGCCGCCTCCACCTGCGCCGCTGCCTCCACCACCACCGCTGCCACCACCACCACTGTCTCCGCCGCTGCTGCCACCACCACCACCACCCCCGCCACTAGTCCCGCCGCCACCCCCACTCCCTCCGCCGCCACCGCCGCCACCACCACCGCCCCCTCCAGCTCCACCCGCGCCCTTGCCCCCCTTGCCCCTGCTGGAGCGACGTCTCCCACTAGGGGTAGACGCCGCGCCGACCGACTCAAGACCAAGCAGGTCGGCAGCAGCAGCAGAGGCAACAGAGGGCAGCAAGGGGGAAGGACAGCACCCCTCAAAGATGGGGGTGCGAGGGTCACCACGAGAAGCACCTACAGCGACTATGCTCTTCTCCGCTGCGAGGAGGGCCTTCTCGAGGAGGTCGACGGTGAGGGTGGTGGGACAGACTGCGAGAAAGTGGTCCCTGACGACGCGAAGGGAGTCAGGGAGGCGCGCGACTACGTACTAGAGAGCGATGTACATGGGGGGGGGTTCTTAGCGCAGAATTCAGCAGGAAGGGCGGCGCGGTAGCGAGTGTCACTAGTGCGGAGGTGCGTAATGAGGTCAGCGACAGTAGGAAAGGCAGAGAGGTCAGGAAAGAGGTAGGGAAGCATGAGACGGCTCAGTGCAGCAGTGGCAGGGGAGGAGTAGCGCGCAACTACAGCGTCGTACAAGGTCTGAGCACTCTTGTACTGACTAAAGTGCGCGCGCTCAGAGGTAGGGAGGTGGCGACGCACAGCAAGACGTGCAGCAGCATCGCGGGTGGCCCACTGAGAGCGCACTGTAGGATCAGCATCAGCAGCAGGAGTAGGAGAGGCGCTAGAGGTGAGGTCAAAGAGAGAAAGGCCGTCTGCTCTGTCGCACTGTAAGAACAGCTGTAGGTCGTCTAACCAGACCTCAAAATCAATGGCGCGACCCTCAGCGTCAAAAGCTAGGACACTAGGGGTAGCCATGGCGACGACAGCGAAGTAGTGCAAGCATTAGGGGAAGAGCACGCAGTGGCAGTGTTGGGTACATATACCATGTGAAACAAGTAAACAGGAATGAGAATGACTAAGTCAGAGTTGGGTACATATACAGCCCTAGAAAGCTGTACCCCATATGGGCTACCCCACTATAGCCTACAAACATGCTTCAGCTATAATACTCTGACATGAGGAGTAGGGACCCTCGATCGCCTCAGCGTACGATCGAGGAGTCGAGATGTCTGGTGCATTCGGGTCTCCCTCAGGGGCAATCAGCGTGGACATGAGATGAGGCAAAGCAGCAGCAAAACACTGGAACTCCTCCTGCCTGTCCTCGAGGACGTCCATGCTAAGAGCACACTCACCCCCGACGAACGGAGGACAGACAAACTCAGACTCAGCAGCAAGACTAGCAGCGTAGTCTAGACGACAGCGAGCAGCAAAGTCGACAAGCTCAGCAACTAAGGCAGACGTAGCAGTCGACTCAAAAGAAGGGTCAGTGACGACATTAGCCAGGAGACGCGTGACAGTAGGATTGGCAGCACGAAGAGAGTCAGACTCAGGGTCAGCAAGAGTAGGAAGAGAGGACTCTGGAGGAGACGGCAACGGGACATGCAGAGGAGCAGTGGAAGGACGCAGTGCCATCTGGTGTGTGCCGGGGACGGCAAGAGGACGCGGACGCGGAGCACGACGACTAGTGCAAGCAGCACAAACAGGCGACGCAGGACGAGACGCAGGCTCACGACGCTCAGCAAGACCTCCAGTAGGACAAGTGTAGGGAGAAGGAGCAGGCAGGGGGGAGGCAGGCTGTAACTGTGACCGCGACTGGACAGGTTGTGGACATGCTAAGGGAGGAGCAGGACTCGTAGAGGGCGAGAGACCAAGAACCTGCTCAAGGAGCGGAACGAAATATGGCCTCGGCCGCGCAACGCCTCCAGAATCAGCAGGGATAGCACCATTACCCCCAAGCGACAGCACCAGCGCCAGCAGCACCTCCAGCTCCAACAGCGCCAACTCCAGCAGGACCGTCAGCTCCAGCACCGCCAGCAGCTCCAGCAGTACCTCCAAAAGGACTCCCAGTCCCAGTAGCACCAGAACCGCCAGGACGTGCACCTCCAGGACCAGCAGCAACAGTAGTACCTCCAGCTTCAGCAGCACGGCTCCAGCGCCAGGCAAACCACTCGCGCAGCTCCTGCGGAGAGAGTAGCTCCCGCCTCGACGAAGCACCGCCAGAGGCCACACGAGCAGACCCAGCACCCCCGTGCTCCGCACCCCCAGGCTGAGCACCCCCAGGCTCCGCACCCCTAGACTTAGCACCCCCAGGCTCAGCACCCCCAGACTCAGCACCCGCAGGCTCAGCGCCTTAGCAGCACCAGAGTCAACAGCTACCTCGACAGGCTCAACTGCGTCTACATGGGACACACCTGACGGGGCAGGACCCTGAGGGGGGCGGGGGTCTACCGGGGGAGGACCTGGCGCAAGGAAAAGCGACGGCGGGGGGAGGGGCGCAGTGCGGTAGGGGAAGAGACGGTAGTAAGGCACCCACTCGTCAAAGGTGACGTCCTGGGAGGACAGAACATGGCACGAGGTGGGGTGGTAAAACTGCCAACCAGGCGCGTCAGGGGGGAAAGCCAAGGAATACGCAGGAAACAACACGGGGGGACAACTTGTCCGTAGACAAGTCGCGGACAAGCGCCCGAGATCCCCAGACCCGAAACGCAGACGCATCGCCAACCTTCCCCGTCCATCGCAAGGTGGGGGAGGTCTCTGGCAAGGAGACCCGGGGCTGAAGGTTGAGCTGATGCGCTGCGTACTGAACCGCAAACGGCCACAGAAAATGGGGAGCAGCCGCATGGATCATGGACGTACGAGCGACGTCCATGACCATGCCAATGCGGCGCTCAGCAATCCCATTTTTCTGTGGAGAGGGAAGAAGCGTGAAGGTCTGGCGGATGCCCTGTGCACGACAGAAGCCTCCCAGAAGGGCAGAGGAAACCTCACCGCATCTGTCAGAGTGTAGACGCAGAACAGGAAAGTCCGAGCCGAAACTCTCTCTGAGCTGGAGACGAGCTGCGCGGATCCAGTCGATCAACACCTCAGTGACGTCACCCTTGCTGCGCAAGGGGAACACCATGATGTAACGCGAGTAGTCTTCAACCACCAACAGGAAGTATCGCTCGTGACCCTGGCCACCGACGCGGGCGGGGCCCCACACGTCCATGTGAAGAGTCTGCAAGGGAGCCTCTGTCGGAGGAAACTCGGAGGAGTGAGGGGCGGCGCGCTGCCGCCCCTCGACGCAGGGGACGCAGGTAGGGGCAGGCCCCGAAGGTAGGGGGGGGAGGGACCGGGGGAGACCAGAGACAAGGACACGTGAGGCCATGCCTCGGAGACGAGGCAGGGAGGGGTGACCAAGGCGGTGGTGCCAAAGGAGAGTCTAGTGGGACAGGAGACGACACGAGCAAGGCGCAGACTCATGACCAGACCTGGACGCTGCTGCAAACACCTGACTCGACGCAGCTACCTGACCAGACTCAGCAACCGGAGGAGACTAAGTGGTTAGTGTGTACAGGCTCAACCCCGGCTGACGGATAAATGTGGCCAAGTGTCGGCCCGTCCGAGCACACGTACAGTGGGTCACCCGCTGACTCGCAGGCGTGAACTGGTCAACCCCCTGGTCCTGTAGATCAGCTCCACTCACCAAGTTCGTAGAGAACGAGGGGAGGTAGAGACCTGACAGGGTGCCAGAGGGGGCTGTCGAACACGGTAAGACAGTGGAGAAGCTAGCAAGGACAGGACCCCTAGAGGGGTCTGCCAGGGAGACCGCAATCGGCCGACTATGCGGCGTAAGCGTGGAGCGGTCTCGAAAGAAGGAGCGGGAAGCACCCGAGTCAAGGGTGAAGGTGTGCAAGGCCTGAGCCGACGTGGTACCTAAGAGAGCAGACTCACCAGCACCTGGGGAAGCAGACGCACTAGCACCTGGAGCAGCAGCCTCAATGCCCGGGTCAGGCGGAACACACAGGTAACAGTCACCCTCATCACTAGTAGACACAGCATACATGGCAGCAAGAATAGCATCATAGTCAAGATCATTAGGTGCAGGGACCAGTACCCCCACCCCGCTGACGCCCAGCGTACCACTCACGAAGCTGCTGAGGGGACAGGGTCTCACGACCGTGCTGCTGCTGCTGGCGCGGACCACCACCGGAGCCACTCCTCTGCGCAGAGCCGCGACCAGCTCCACCGTTGCCTCCGCCACCTCCGCCACCTCCACCACCTCCGCCGCCTCCGCTCCCTCCGACACCACCGCCGCCTCCTCCGCCTCCACTGCTGCCACCGACACCTCCGCCCTCGCCACCACACCCACCACCACCCCCACCCCCTCCACTGCCTCCACCACCACCTCCACCGCCCCCACTAGCCCCCCCAACGCCCTTGCCCCCCTTGCCCTTGCCGGTGCGGCGCTTCGCGCTAGGGGCAGACGCGCTAGGGGCAGCGCCGACCGACTCAAAGCCAACGAGGTCGGCCGCAGCAGCAGAAGCAACAGAGGGCAAGAGGGGGGAGGGAGAACACCCCTCAAAGACGGGGGTGCGAGGGTCACCACGAGAGGCTCCTACAGCGACTATGCTTTTCTTTGCTACTAGGAGGCGCTCCTTGAGGAGGTCAACGGTGAGTTTGGTGGGGCAAACTGAGAGGAAGTGGTCCCTGACTAAGCGAAGGGAGTCAGGGAGCCGGGTGACTATGTAGTTTAGGGTGATGTACATGGGGGGGGGGGTTCTTGGCACAGAACTCTGCAGGAAGTGCAGTGCGGAAGCGACTATCACTCATGCGAAGGAGCGTAATGAGGTCAGCGACTGTGGGAAAGGCAGCAAGGTCAGGGAACAGGTACGGTAGCATGAGGCGGCTAAGCGCAGCAGTGGCAGGGGAAGAGTAGCGTGCAACTACAGCGTCGTACAAGGTCTTAGCACTCTTGTACTGGCTAAAGTGCGCACGCTCAATGGTCGGTAAGTGGCGACGCACAGTAAGACGTGCATCAGCATCGCGCGTGGCCCACTGCGAGCGATCAGTACTGTTAGCAGTAGCAGGCGGGGCAGGAGAGACACCAGAGGTGAGATCGAACAGGGAGAGTTCGTCTGCCCTATCGCACTATAAGATTAGCTGGAGATCATCGGCCCAGACCTCAAAGTCAACAGCACGACCGTCTGTATCAAAGGTAAGGACACTGGGGGTAGCCATGACTACAGTGGCCTAGCAGGGATTAAGCTCACCAGTCCAAGGGAGTAGGGCCGGGGCGCGCCGGTAGGAACAGTAGTGGCTCGACAGCAGGGCGGCTCGTCGGCTCGGCTGCTGGGCGGCACGGCGGCTCGGCAGCTCGGCTGCTCGGCGGCTCGGCGGCTCGGCTGTTGGGCGGCTCGGCTACTTAGCGGCTCGGCGGCTGGGTCGCTGGGCGGCTCGGCGGCTCGGGCGCCTCGCCTGCTGGGCGGCTGGCGGCGTGGTGGCTCGGCTGCTCAGCTGTTGGGCAGCTCAACGGTGAAGGGGCCGGTAGAGGCGGCGACGGGGCCGCGAAGAGGCGGCGACGGGGCCGCGAAGAGGCGCGACGGGGCCGCTAGGGGCGGCGATGGGGCCACTAGGGGCGGCGACGGGGCCGCTAGGGTCGGCGACGGGGCCAGTAGGGTCGGCTGCGGGGCCGCTAAGGGCGGCGAGGTGGCCGCGAAGGGTTGCGACGGGGCCTCCAGGGGCGGCGACGGGGCTGCTAGGGTCGGCGACGGGGTCGCAGAGGGGCCGTAGGGGGCCTAGAGGGGGCGGCGACGGGGCCGCAAAGGGTGGCGACGGGGCCGCAAGGGGCGGCAACGGGGCCGCAAGGGGCGACGACGGAGCCGCGAAGGGGCCGCGAGGGGCCTGGAGAGGCGGCGACGGGGCCTAGAGAGGCGACGACGGGGCCGCGAAGGGGCCGCGAGGGGCCTAGAGGGGCAGCAACGGGGCCGCGAAGGGGCCACGAGGGGCCTAGAGGGGCGGCGACGAGGCCGCTAGAGGCGGCAACGGGGCCGCAAAGGGGGCCGAGACGGGCCTAGAGGGGCTGCGACGGGGCCGTAACAGGGGCCGTGAGGGGCCGCGAAAGGGGCCGCGAGGGGCCTGAGGAGGGCGCGACGGGCCGCTAAGGGCTAGGGGCGTGACGGGAGGGAGGGCACACGGGGCGCGACTCGGGCAAGAGGGAAGCGCGCTTTGGGCAGGAAAAAAAAAATTCAGTGGTGGGCCCTAGGAAACGTTCCCACTAGGGAACCTGCTCTATACCATGTGAAAGAACAAGGAATGATTGCATTGAGCAGCATGAGGAGTTCAAGTAGGAAACCCTAAAATGTTGTACCCCATATGAGCTACCCCACTACAGCCTACACAGACTATAGCATATAAGTCTGACAGGGAGCAGCAGCTTCCGCTGATCGAGTTCGCGTACAACAACGCCACGTCAGCGACGACGAAGGAGTCCCCCTTCTACTGCTCGACACACAGGACTTAAGACTGCCCGTCGTACCGAAATTGCGACCCCGCTACTGTGGACCATTCCAAATCAGCCACATGATCACCCCAGTGACAGCCCACCTACTGTTTCCGACGGACTGGTACATCAACCCTTCATTCCACGTCAGCCTGCTTCGTCCATACGTCCCTACCACAAGCCAACTGCCTCATCACCTCCCACCATCCATGACTCGCCCTCCATCGGAGCGGATCATCGAAATTGAAAAAATCCTGAGCCATCGGATTCGCCACCCCACGGGAATCAGGAGGATTGAATTCCTCGTTCGCTAGAAGGATCGCATGCCAACTAAAGATAGCAAGGTGCCCCTGGCCAACATTGAAAACCACCCTGCCCTGCAAGTGTACCTGAGGAGCCGGGGTTTCCGCGATATACACGCGCTCGCGCAGCGGAGGGGGCTTCTTGAGGGGGGGGGGGTGAGAAGAAACGAGAATGAATGAACTATGAATGAACTGGGTACAAGTACTAACCCTAATTGGGTTGTACCCCCTATGGGATACCCCACTATAGCCTACACAAAAGCAGAAGCTATAATGTTCTGACACACCCCCATAGGCAAAGTGGAGGAGAACAAGGGGTCACAAGACCAGTCAAGCAAAGGAAAGTAAAGCAAGCTCAGGGTGGATCACAAAGTCACCACACATTCCGAGCACAAGTTCTAGGCCACAAGGCCAGTTCTCATGCAGGAGTACATATATATATAAAAAGCTAGACAAGCAAGAGCAGGTATATATATATGTAACAGTACAAGCAAGGTCAAGAGGTGAGGAAGTGAGGTAAGACAGGGACAAGACCCAGCTGAGTGCAGAAGCGCTGATGATCAAAAGGCGCAAGTGCCTTGGTGAAAACATCAGCAGTGCTGGCCTCAGAGGCCACGTACGCAAGCCGCAGCTGACCACGCTGCTGTAGCTCACAAGCAAGGAAGTAGCAGAGAGCAATGTGCTTCGTTCTCTGCTCCAGTCACTGCTCTCGACACAAGGCCAGCATGGCCTTGTTGTCTACGTACACAACTGGAGGAGAACGAGGCGGCTCTACGAGGTCAGTCAGCAGGTAGGTGAGCCAGCGAAGCTCCTGTGCAGCCAAGGCCCCAGCGTAGATCTCAGCCTCACAACTGGAGCCAAGAACAGAAGACGAGCGAGTAGCCCGCCACGAGACAGAGCCGGAACCAAGGCTGAAGGTGTAACCCTGTGACGACCGCTGCGTAGCCTGGTCGTAAGCCCAAGAAGCGTCTGTGTGCCCAGTGAGGACCACTGGACTGCGCCCTCCAAGCACTAGCCCCATGCAGGACGTACTGCACAAGTAGCGCAACACCCTCTTCGCTGCAGCCATGTGCTCTGGTCGGTGTCTCCCAGGAGCAACATAGCGTGCGAGAATGCTAAGAGGGTATGCAAGGTCAGGTCGTGTGCAGGTCATCAGGTACATGAGGCAGCCAACAAGCTCTGGATACGGGCCACTCGACTCTACGGACTCATCCGAAGGCAGAGCTGAGAGTGAGTGGCGAGTAGGCAGAGGAGTGGCCTGAGGCAAGGAGTACGTGAAACCGAAGCGCCGAAGGACTTGCTGCACCATGTGTGACTGAGTCAAGGTAATGGTGCGGCGTGCTCTGTCCCGCGTGATCTGCAAGCCAAGGTAGCTGCGCAGTTCACCCATGTCTGTGCACGTGTATCTCTTTTGCAGCTCGGACTTCACGTAGGCGAGTCCAGCAGTGTCAGCAGTGGCAAAGACCAAGTTGTCGACGTACACGAGTATGTAGAAAGGTGGCACAGAGGTGTCGGTGCGCAGAAACAGCGACGGGTCAGCAGTAGAAGGAGCAAACCCAAGAGCCGCAAGTGTAGTCCTCGGTGTGTCGTGCCACTCACGGGGCGCCTGGCGGAGACCGTAGACTGGACGCCGGAGACTCCACTGGGTACCAGGAGGGAACGACCCAGTGAAGCCAAGTGGGCGGCGCAGCCAGATCTCCTCGTGCAGGCTGCCCTGCAAGAAAGCTGTGCTGAAGTTGAGAGAGTGCAGCTCCTAGTCACGGTGAGCAGCAACGTGCAGTAGTACCCGAAGAGTGGTCATCTTCGGGGTGAGAGAGAAGGTCTGAAAGTAGTCAACTCCCTGCCGCTGACTCCAGCCAGGAGCCACGTACCGTGCCTTGAAGACAGGCGGAGAACCCGACGGCCGCTTCACCCTGAAAATCCACATGTCACTGACGATGTTTGCCCAAGGAGGGGGGACAGCGTCAACGTAGGTGCCTGTGGACTTCCAGAAAGCCATCTCTGCATCCATAGCTGCCTACCACTGAGAAGAGTAGGGACCCTCTATCGCCTCCGCGTAAGAGCGCGGAGTCGGGATGTCAAGCGCATCCGGGTCTCCCGCAGGGGTAAGCAGTACGGACACGAGATGAGGTGAAGCAGCGGCCAAGCACTGGAACTCCCCCTGCCTGTCCTCAAGGACGTCTGTGCCAAGGGCACACTCACCCCCGACGGACGGAGGACAGACAAACTCAGACTTAGCGACAAGACTAGCAGCGTAGTCTAGGCGACAGCGAGCAGCAAAGTCGACGAGCTCAGTAACTAGGGCAGACGCAGCAGTGGACTCGAAAGAAGGGTCAGTGACGACAGTAGCAAGGAGACGCATGACAGTAGGACTGGCAGCACAAAGAGAGTCCAACGCAGGGTCGGCAAGAGTAGGAAGAGAGGATGCAGGAGGAGAAGGCAAAGGGGCACGCAGAGGAGCAGTGGACGGACGCAAAGATATCTTGTGCGTGCCAGGGACAGGAGGAGGACGCTGACGCGAACCGCGACCACTAGCACGAGCAGTACGAACAGGCGACGCAGGACGAGACGCAGGCTCACAACGCTCAGCAAGACCTCCAGTAGGACCAGTGTAGGGAGAGGGAGCAGGTAGTGGGGAGCCAGGCTGTAACTGTAGCTGTGACGGGACAGGCTGTGGACACTCTAAAGAAGAAGGAGGACCTGTAGAAGGTGGAAGACCAAGAACCTGCTGCAGGAGTGGAACGAAGTACGGTCGAGGCCGCGCGGCGACACCAGACACAGCAGGGACAGCACCAGGACACCCAGCAGGATCACCCTCTCCAGCAGCACCTCCAGCAGCTCCAGAACCTCCAGTAGCACAAGTAGCACCCCCAGCAGGACCGCGAGCAGTAGGCTCAGCACCAACGCCCGCAGCAGCACCAGCTCCAGTCGAACCCGCAGGCCCAGCAGCTCCAATACTCCCAGTATGATCACCTCTGGGACCAGCGGCACCAGCACCCTCAGCAACCGAAGAACCTCCAGCTCCAGCAGCACACCTCCAGCGCCGGGCAAACCACTCGCGCAGCTCGGGTGGAGAGAGTGGCTCCCGGCAAGACGAAGCACCCGGAGGACCTCCAAGCTCAACACCCCCAGGCTCAGCACCCCCAGGCGTAGCACCTCCAAGCTCAACACCCCCAGGCTCAGCACCCCCAGGCTCAGCACCTCCACGCGTAGTACCCCCAGGCTCAGCACCCCCAGTCTC